GGTTCGAACTGATTGATCTATACGAGAAGAAGAACATCCCCAAAGTCATACACTGCGTCCATGCTCTATCATGGCTGTTGTTCAAAAAAGGCCTTGTTGAGTTTCGCATGGGTAATCTCGTAGGTCAGCTTGAATTCGAACACCATGAACTGGAGCAAACACAGAAGGGTCTCGACAAGGCTGGTGTGAGCATGCCTAGCTTTTCGGGGATGGCTGCGAATTTCGGGGCAGAACCTGAGCCGGAGCCGGAGCCGGAGCCAGAATCCGAAGAGGAGAGAATCCAGCGCGAGTTGCATGAGAGCGAAGCGTCAATTGCTGATTTTCAAGCTCAGATCAGAGGCGCAATGACGCGCCTGAAGCTTGGGAATCTTATGAATGACCTTTGGGACTTTGAACCTTTCTTGGTGGAATTGCAATCCCGAATTCGCGCTGACTGGGCCCGCCAAATCATTCAATATCGCTTGGATATGAAGGCCTTCGCCACGAATCTCCAAGCGCTTTGCCGAGCATTCCTTGTGCGAAGCCGCCAGAGTAGTGTCCAGGAACACTACCGGGCCAACGAAATCGGCATCATGCAGCTACAGAGCCTCATTCGCGGCGCCAAAGCAAGGGCCGACGTTGACCATCTGCGAACTCAGATTCGGAAGGAGGAATCTGGCATCAAACAGATTCAGGCGGCGCTGAGAGGAGCCTTGCAGCGCAAGATTGTATCTGAGATGTACGAGGATACAAGATACGCGGAAAAAGAGGTCCGACTACTGCAAGCTGCGATCCGGGGTGCTCTCCAGCGCAGTCAAGTCTCAACGCAGCTGGAAGCTGTTCACTCTGCCGCGGGTAGCATCACCACCCTTCAAGCGATTATCCGAGGAGCTCTGCAACGTAACCAGGTCTCGCAGCAATATGAAACCGCGCACTCCGCCGAGGACAACATTGCGACACTTCAAGCATATATCAGAGGTGCCCTGCAACGCATCCTAGTCTCACAGCAAAGTGAAGCTCTACGCTCCGTGGAAGACAGTATCATGGCACTGCAGGCACATATCAGAGGTACTCTGCAACGCAGTCAAGTCTCTGAACTGTATGAAGCCACACGGTCGGCGGAAGATGAGATAACAGCACTCCAGTCAATCATCAGAGCTGGCATCTTACGGCAGCAGGTGAATGTGCAGAACGCAGAGATTAGTAGCACTGAAGCGCCCACGGTGTCTCTACAAGGGAAAATCCGCGGGATGCTGACAAGGAAGTCCGTTGCTGAGATAAAGGAAGCACTTGCCCTTGAGTTAACTGCCATTACTACTATTCAATCGATTGCTCGAGGCCGTGCGCTAAGAGAGCGTCAGCATCAACAAGCTTTAGCGCTCGAGGAGACGACTAGCGAGTGTGTATCGCTTCAATCACTGGCTCGTGGTGGGGCAGTGAGAACAGCCCTTGAGCAGCTTCGACAAGACCTCAATGAGCATACGCAGGCGGTAATTCAACTTCAGAGCATAACGAGAGCGAATGTGATCCGGTCTGAGATCCGGTCGCAGAAAGCAGCACTGGCAGAAGTAGAGACTTCCATCCTGGAATTACAATCTATGGGTCGAGGCTCCATCCTCAGGAGACGGTTGGCAACCGACGCCGACGCCTTGCAGGATGAAGCACTGGTGATCACACATCTTCAGGCCCTCGCTCGTGCGGCAGTGCTTAGAATCAAGGTTGGCGGAGATCTGGACGAGCTCGAGGACTGTGAGGATGAAGTTAGCCAGTTGCAGGCACAAATTCGAGCGATGCTGATCCGGGTTGAAGTTGGCCAAATGCTGGCAGACCTTGCTGCTGAAGAAGATGTCGTCATTGAGCTCCAATCGCACATACGTGGATACTTGGTCCGCTCGAAATTCGAAGAGAAACGTCAATATTATCGCCAAAATATGGAAAAGGTTATCAAGGCGCAAAGCTATGTGCGAGGAAGAATTCAGGGCCAAGCATACAAGAGTCTTACTACCGGCAAGAATCCTCCAGTAGGAACTGTCAAAGGCTTCGTGCATCTGTTGAATGACAGCGAATTTGACTTCGACGAGGAGATTGAGTTTGAGCGAACAAGAAAGTTGGTAGTCCAGCAAGTTCGACAAAACGAGCTAGCGGAACAGTACATCAGCCAGCTCGATATCAAGATCGCTCTGCTGGTAAAGAACAAGATCACCCTTGACGAAGTCGTCAAGCACCAAAAGCACTTCGGCGGCCACGTTGGTAGCCTGCTGCCCAACAGAGAAATCTCGTCTACAGACCCCTTCGACCTCAAAGCCCTGAACAAGACGTCAAGGAGAAAACTTGAACAATACCAGGTATTCTTCTTCCTTCTTCAGACTCAATCGCAATACTTGGCCAAGCTCTTCCGGCGTCTGCGTGAGCTCAACACCTCTGAGAAGGAATACGAGCGGATCAGACACTTGATGATGGGGCTTTTTGGTTATTCGCAAAAGAGGCGAGAGGAGTACTACTTGATTAGGCTGCTCGCACGTTCCGCGCGGGAAGAAATCGAGAGCTTCGACTCACTGCACGAATACTTGCGCTGCAATGCGTTCTGGAACAAACTCTTCGCATCTTATATCAAGTCTCCCCGAGACCGCAAGTTCATGCGGGATACGCTGGGTCCTGTCGTTCGGGAGAACATCATCGAAAACCCGGAGTTGGACCTGGAAAGTGACCCAATGCAGATCTATCGTTCCGCAATCAATAACGAGGAGCTGCGGACCGGAAAGAGAAGCAGGCGTCGACCTGACATTCCTCGAGAGGAGGCCATTCGAGATCCAGAAACTAGGGCGACCTTCATCCAAAATCTTCAGGACCTTCGTGATATCGCCGACCAATTTTTCTCCGCCTTTGAAGAGCTACTGTATCGGATGCCCTTCGGCATTCGGTATATTGCAAAAGAGATGTATGAGAGCTTGCTGGCAAGATTCTCCAACGAAGATCCTGGATTTATCCTCCAGACTGTTGGCCATTGGGTGTGGAGGAATTATTTCCAGCCTGCCATTTTCGAACCCGAGAAGTACGGTGTGGTGGATCGAGGTTTGACTCAGGAGCAGAAGCGAAACCTTTCTGAGATCGCCAAGGTGATTGCGCAAGTCGCTTCTGGACGACTTTTCGGTGCGGAGAATGTCTACCTCCAACCGTTGAACAGTTATATCGGTGACTCAATTCAACGGCTTGGCCAGATCTGGGGTGACAGTAAGTTGAAACATGTACAAGAGTTTCTTCCAGATCTGACTGTTGTATAGTGATTTCTGTTCAGAATGCAGAAGATTATTTCGACATTGATGAGTTTAATGACCTCTACGCCAAGACAAAGCCCACCTTGTACATCAAGATGTCCGATATTTTCTCCATCCATCAACTCGTCGCCAGTGAGATACAGTACATGTGCCCAACCCAAGATGATATCCTGAAAGAAGTCATCCGTGACCTCGGAAATGTGAAATCCAATGAGAGCGAGTTGATGAGTGTCAACTCCTCCGAAATCAGTCTCACACTGAATCCTAAGCTTGCACAGGTTGAAGGTGAGTGTTTTGAAACCCGGCCAATGCGTGTTGATAGCTGACTTGCAATTTAGACCCGGAGGCAGATGTCAAGGCTTTGTTCATGGAAACAAAACGATGCATCCTCTACATCATCAGAGTTCAGACGGGTGCCAATTTATTGGAGATCATGGTCAAGCCACCTACCGACGAAGACGAGGAGAAATGGATGATGCTGGTGCGCGATGAACTGAGTGCAAACAACACCAGGCGAAGCGCATATGCGGAGGCCAACACGATGGTTGACATTGCTTCCATGAGTTACTCCGAACTTAAGCGGACGGCACTCGAGAATATCTTGCACCTCGAACACACTGGAAAGATCCGCCGTGACAACTATTATCAGGATCTTCTGAACGCGATCGCTATCGATATCCGAACCAAGCACCGCCGGAGAATCCAACGGGAGCGGGAGTTGGATAGCGCACGAATGACGCTTGCACGTCTCAACGACCAAGCTGTCTGGCTGGATCAGCAGCTGAAGACGTACAATGATTATATCGAACAGGCCATGATCACCCTACAGAACAAGAAGGGGAAGAAGAGGTTCCTCATGCCTTTCACCAAGCAATGGGACCACCAACGTGAGCTTCAGAAGTCGGGCAAGGTTTTCAAGTTTGGCTCTTATAAATACTCGGCTCGCAACCTGGCCGACAAGGGTGTTCTTGTGCATTGGAAAGGATACACCGAGCGCCAATGGGACCGCGTCGACCTCACGATCTCGAGTAACGAAGTTGGTGTTTTCACTCTGGATGGCAGCAGTGGACCGATGATGATCCCAGGCGCCAATGCCCAGGTGCCATTGGATGACCTGCTCCAGGCTCAGTTCAACAACATGCAGTTCCTTGACTTCTTCGACGGACAGCTTCGGGTGAACGTCAACCTTTTCTTGCATCTCATCATGAGGAAGTTCTACAATGAATAATTGGGGACCTCGTAACATGATGTTGTTTCTTATCTTTTCATTTTCACTCTATATCCATCCTCTACCCTCTTATGCCATTGTGATATCCCACCTCTTTTCCTGTTATAGCATGTTGAACATGACGAGAGCTCGGCGAGTTTGATGCACAGAGACGAGCTCCTTATTTTCGAAGATTACCCCTTGTGTTCGTTGTTCTGCTTTCTTTCTTTCTTTTTTTTTTCTTTTCCTTTTCATTCCTTCGATGATACTCAGTGCATGTCTATTCTATGATGATTTGATGATCTTATGTGTGTAGCTTTTATGCTAAGCTGTACGTATTGCATGTTTGGACTGCTGTGGAAACAATGATGAGTCATGGTCAGTCCCTTTTCTTGAAGTCAGCGTGCGGAAGTAAATCGTTGTTGCTAGTAGTGAAAAGAGGATGACGCAGCGATTGTCGGGTCAGGGGCTGCCACGTGACGTCTTCGGGCCCAAACGGCGATCGATGCCAGCTGGAGTCGATGAAACAACATGTCCGTCCTACTTGTACTTTCCAATCCCCCTCAAGAGACCCCGTTCAATTCCCTTTCACTGGTCAACTGTCCAGCATTCTTCCCTGTACTTCTTGTTTGTCGGCTGTCATTTGATCGCGTGTTTTGAAACCAAAACAGCCTGTTCTGCTCAAGGCGCCATGGATTTCTCGAGTCTCAAAGACCAGGTCAGCAACCTGACCTTGTATGATCTCAAGGCGGGTGTCCGCAAGGTCCAGAATGGTAGGTCTCCTGTTGGCGAAGTCCGTTTTTTATGCGCCAGCTCTCTTGCTTGCTTGTAACACGTTCTTATCGGGTCAAACAATGTAATTAACTGCCTTAGCTGTCATGAACTACACTGAAATGGAGGCCAAGGTCCGTCGTTCCTCTCCCCGGCACTTCCGCCCCGCTCCCCTGATCTCCGGACAAAGGCCGTGGTAGTGATGAGCACCGCACTTACACCAAGCAGGTTCGCGAAGCTACGAACAACGAGCCATGGGGTGCTTCCAACTCACTGATGCACGAAATTGCGAGCGGAACGCACAGCTAGTCAGTCGCCTCCCTTGCTCCCCGCCCCTGTCGCATTCACTGGTGAGAGTATAGTTGCTGATAAGACGCCGATGCACCCAGTCAATTGCTTAATGAGATTATGCCTATGATTTACAAGCGCTTCACAGACAAGACCGCCGAGGAATGGCGGCAGATCTACAAGGTCAGTTTTGCCCGCTCACAGCATGTCTTCGAAACAGGTTTTGTCAACATTTCCTCTGGGGGCCCTGGCTGACGGTTGACTCTTCCGCGGACAATAGGCTCTCCAGCTTCTGGAATTCTTGGTCAAGAATGGTTCCGAGCGCGTCGTTGACGATGCGCGCTCCCACATGTCACTCCTCCGCATGCTTCGCCAATTCCACTTCATCGATCAGAATGGAAAGGACCAGGGTATCAACGTACGCAATCGATCGTCGGAATTGGTCAAGCTGCTCGGTGACGTCGACTTGATTCGCTCGGAGAGGAAGAAGGCGCGGACCAACAAGAACAAATTCGGCGGGTTTGAGGGAGGTTCACACATCAGCGGTGGGATGTCGAGCTCGGGCTCTGGCAGATACGGAGGCTTTGGCAGCGAAAGTCTCTCCTTTGGAGGATACAGTGGTGGTGTATATGGTGATGGCGGCGGCTTCGGAGGCAACACAGGCGATTTCAACGACTCTGGTAGTCGCTCGAACCGCTTCGATGAGTATGATGAATACGATGAAGCCGATGCCGCTCCCACACGGCGCCGCGCAGCTAGCCCTCCTCGCGCTCGTCCAGCGAAGCAACCGGAGCCTCCGAAGCCCAAGGCGCCCGAGGCCGACCTATTCGATTTCAGCGAAGAGCCGGTCGCAACGACAGCGTCCACGTCGAAACAGCCCGCGGGAGCCAGCGCCAGCAGCGGTCTCGACATCCTTAACACCAACACCGCCGACGACGATGACTTCGACGACTTCCAATCTGCCACCCCGGCGCCCGCCCCGGCATCTTCCGCGCAGTTCTCCATCCCCGGCCCCGCATCCACCGTCAGCACAACCTCCAGCACGCAATTCGCCGCGCCCAAGCCTGTATCTGGCACCCAAGGGTCGAACCTGAGCGGCATCGTCGGATTCACGTCGATGACGCCGACCCCGACCTCGAGCACCGTTGCCTCGCCCACCCTGTCCCAAAGCTCTCTGGCGCAACCGCACAAGCCCGCCCAAGCGCAACCCAGACCCAGCGGCTTCCAAGCCGCCACCCCCAACTACTTCACCTCCGTCTCCGCCGGCCAGCCCCCTCTCAGCAGCGGCGGCGGCGGCGGCGGCGGCAACACCGTCTCCGGCCACCGGCCCGGCATGCCCTCGACCTCCTCCTTCACCTCTACCACGACGACCGCCTCCGCCGGATCCAAGCCCACCGCCGCCTCCAAACCTTCCGGCGGCGACGCCTTCGGATCCATCTGGTCCTCCGCCAGCGCCAGCGCGGGTCTCGCAAAGGCCAACGCCAACGCCAGCCGCGGACCCAACCTAGCCAGCATGGCCAAGGAGAAAGCCAGTGCCGGAATCTGGGGCGCGCCCGCATCGAGCAATGTGACCTCGCCATCGCAGAGTCAGTACGGCGGTGGCTCAAAGTCGACGGATGGTGGTAGTTCGGCGTTTGATGATTTGCTAGGCTAAGTTGGGGATGGATGATTACTTGCCTTTTTTTTTAAATTCTTCTTTTCTACTTGGTGTGCTATCTTCTTTTCTTGGGGCCAATGTTATACCGTAGTACGATTTGCTTTTTGCTTCAATATTTTTTCTTCTGTTTGTCATCCGGAAAAATCATCTCGAGAGATTTTCGCATTCATTTTCTTTCGTGTCGCTTACAAAATAGCAAGCATATCTTTTTCCCCCCCCTTTGTTTTCCATTTCTTGTGGTATCATGTTTGTGTCTATACTTGGAAGATCACTTATGTTGCTTTCGCTTTGCTTCTGTTGTCTAGATGATTCGGTAGGAGGGGTGTGGGGGAACGGGGTTTAGATACAGGAAAGCAATGGATGATGATGTTGGCTAGCTTTCAAATTGAGTCTTGCTGTGTAGATGTTTTAGACTTCCAAGCTTTGTGAGTGTTGTGTCGTAGACTCAAGGGGTGCTAATCCATGCAATTTATGTACAAGATATCTATCTATATTCCTGTTTGTGCCGGAGGGCTAGATATAGTCCCGAGTCAAGCCCGTGGATTTTGCTCAACTTGATGGCCGGGCCAGGGACAGATACAGAAGAAGATCAGACGAAGAGATAGATAGACCGCGGCGTTCTATGAGAATGAATAGATATGACTACTAGACTGGTCATCTGTCCATTTTCTATTTGAGAATAGAATATACAAAAGGGGGAACCAAAGCCTCGATAATGCCGGTTCATGCACTCACACACAACACACCGTATTCATCATTGGTGAGAGATATAAGACTACAATTGTCCGTGGACAGAATCAAAATAGAGACACAAAACAAAGTATGACGGATTTCCTCCCACGCTAAAGAAGAACTTTACTGCGAAACAAACTGGAAACTTAAACACCAGGGTAGTCGAAAAAGAAAGCAGAGAAAGAAGAACTGATATCATAATACCCGTGTATGAATTGTACCGTATGCTTTGCGTGTGGGAAGTGTTGCTAAGCGATGATGAGTGTAAGAGAAAAGAGAAAAAAAAATATATTTGAGATCACAAAGTTCCAGCCGGGGAACGAAGAACAATAATATAGCGACGATATGGGGTGTCAATAAGTAAAAAAATTGGGAAACAAATATGCAGGATGCAATTATGGATGACCAGCTTCCTTTCTTTGTCTTTTGTTCGCCCCGTCTCTCAAGGCATAGCCAGGTTTGACTGGGGCTGGGATGGAGGGAAATGTCAGAAAAGGGTCTTGTGGGGGAAATATTTGGGAGATCGTATCTCTTAATACCGTACCTTGGTCAGGTACGTAGACAGGTCAGGTAGGGAACCGGTGGGGGGGACATATACAGTGGGGGAATTAAATTTTAACAAGCCTGAATGTGACTGTTCTTCTCGGTCGGGACGTCAATACCCTGCTTTTCTGATGCGCTCAGATGTGACAGGTTCGAATCGGCGTTGCCACCGCTAAGCGACGACGACTTGGGAGCACCTTCTTCTCCTTTCTCTCCGTTCATGGCGGCTTCACGAGTTGCTTTCGGAGAGTCTTGTTGCTGTGCCTGTTGCTCGTTCGTGGCAGATGGTATCGTTTGTTGATGAGAGCTTCGATTCGAGCCCGGGTCATGGTTCGTATGCTGATGACCCTCGTCTTCATCTTCCAGATCGGGCTCGCCGTTCAACGACGTCAACCCACCTTCGATATCACGGAGCAGCCGGACGAACTCCTCAGGAACCAGTCCACTCTCGCCGGTCCGGGGATCCTCCGCTACCAGCCAGCCCTGACCGTGCCGGTATGACACAAAGATCACCTGCCCCTCGGTCAGAGGCAGCTCATTCTCGTGCTCGCGTGTGAAGTCAAAGAGCGCAACCGCCTTGCCGTGCATCTCTTCATCTGGGCATCCCACCGCAAACTGAAAATCTCGCGAATACCGATGTGTTTCATAATCATCCTCGGATTCGAAGTCACCCTCGTGTCCATAGGACTGGTCATTACCGTAATCGCCCGCTCGGGAATACCGGCTTTCGTTAGCTGGATAGGTGACATACTCGCCTCCGGGGCCATCGTCCATATCATCGTGGTCGTCGTCATTCACATAGTAAGTCTCGCTACCATCCGGATTCATGCTGACGAGCGTGCCCCGTTCGGCATCATTCTCATAATATACACTTCCATGTGCACGATTGAACTTCCGGCTCTTGCGCCCATTAGAATCGGTGCCAGTGGACTTGTTCTTTCGGTGATGGGGTGTGGAGAAGACTGGGCTGTGCAGGTCTTCGTCTTCGCTGTAGGGCGGACCATCGCCAAAGGACATGGCAGGCAGCTGCTGATGCCCGTAACTGTGATCAGTGCTCCAGGGGCCCATAGACCACTGACCACGCGAGCTATCCCACGGAGCCGGAGGGTCAGACAGGCGTCGTGGCTCACTGGCCGGGGTGGATGCTATGGATGCACGAGGAGGCAGCGGACCATAGTGGAGGGGATGTATCGGTGGGTATGCAAAATCGCGCACCAAAGCATATGACAGGCTGGAATGGAAAATGGGAAAGACATGTGACCCGGGTCGCGACCGGTTGTGTGAAGCAAGCGAGACATTCGAATGTGTTGAGAGGCGCTCACGGGCGTATGAGGAAGAGCGTTGACGGCCCGGCCGCTTAGCTGAAGCATCCGTAACTATTGGAGGCAAGACTGTGAGGTTCGCAGAAGACGCCGCCTGCTGCGGCTGAGGGGATGATGCCGCAGAAGCCATGGCTATTGAATGCTGGTCTTATGTGGAGACGGTTCGGCGCGCGAGAATTGTGATTGCGTGTCGAGAATGTCGTGTGAAGTGATGTCAAGTCGGATGTTATAACCCAGGGAGGAAATGAAGGGGAGGCTCAAAAGACTGGTTCGCCCTAGCTTTGCATCGCGATCGCCCGCCCACTGAAGTTCAGCTACCAGCCTGCGTTCGAAGAACGTCTCTTGATGTTGACTCGATCAGGCAGGGAACCGGGAGAGAAGCGTGCGGACCGAATTGGTGGGAGGGCAGGAACTCCTTGCGTGTAAGCACGATGCAAATCGAGTTGGTGGAGGAGGCTGCGCCGAGCAGGATTGTCCTGATTCGAAACCACGGAGCTGAGCAAGCGACGAACGATGGGGTCCTAGGCGCCAGAGAGGCGAGGTGGTATCAATCGGGTTACTGGAAGGTCCAGTGAGAGTCGGCGGCGCAGGGCAGGCAAGGCGCGGCTATCAATCGCAGAATACCACAGCGATCTTCACAATCCAGACTGCTCCCCTCTGTCTCACATAAGCGATAGGAAATTAATTGGTCACGGCAGTGAAGAGATTGTCCAGGCCAGACGACTGAAACGAGACAAGAAAATGTGGACAGGCGCCCAGGTTTGGGGAGGTTGTAATGAAGCAGAGTGGCAGGAAGCTTTTTCGACCGGGCTTGGTGTCTCGGTGTCCCGCGCTTGACAGTCGAGTGGATTGGATGGTCGAGGGAGGGTAGAACTGGGGATGCTAAATTTAGCAACGAGGGCAGGGAGGAAAAACGCCACTTTTAGAGACAGCGATTACTAAAGCCCATGGGACGCTGGAGGGGAAAACCAAAGAATTTTAGGCGAGAACCGGGCGGGGAGAGAAGGAGGGAGAAGGAGGGGAGGGAAGGAGAGGAGAGGAGAGAGGAGGATGAGGAGGAGGGGAAAAGTGGGCGCTTGTAGATGACACCACCTGCAGGATAAGAAGGCAGAAAGCAAAGAGCAGAAAGCAGAAACACACAGACTGAGACTGACAGACAAGAGGATAAGAAAGAACCAACTAACTTAAAAGGATGGTGGAGCGAGTGAGGGCGAAGAAGGGCAGGCAGAGGCCAGCGTCGGAGATTACCTTGCCTAGTGTGTAGTTTTAGTTAATCGATGCGTTAAGGATCACCGAGGCGCAGTTCCGGGGAGGAGGAGGGGGGAGGGGGGGGGGGGGGGGAGAGAAATGTAGGGAGGGAGACTCACGGGTCTTTTTCCGCCCTCTGCTTTCTTGAGAATCGAAACACGGAAACACGTTTCAAAAAGAGAACTCTTCATGCAGACAAGCCACTCAATCTGTCTTACTGCAACATTGCCGCGCGGTTGATCTGGGATCGATCATTCATGACAAGTTAATCCGGAGAGAATAATGAAGAGTGAAGACTCGCCGGGAAGCACGTGACAATCCACGCGTGGCTTAGTGTGTTTCAGTCAATGATGCCTCAGGCGATCCCTGTTTGGGATACACTGCCTCAGGTTTCATCCTTGCTTCCTCCCTCCTTCTTTCAGTCACCGTACATACAGTACCTGCCTACCTACATACCACAACCACCACCACCATTGCTACAACCATGCACAGCCAGCACATTCAACACAACGCCCCCCCTACAGCAAAGGCCAAGTTCTAGCGGTATGCCAGCGTATGCCAGCGGGAATTCTTGGCGGTTCTCCTTCTCCCTCTGGCTACATCTTGTAACCTTCCAGCCTGATGCTGGTGCTGCGCTACGCCAGGCTCAATACCTACGATAATACTACATTCTTGTACAATCTTACTTAGAAGGAAATTTTCAAAGAGAACAAAATTTTTAAAGGTTAAGATGTCTATTGATCAAATCAAGGAAACTAAAATAAAATCAAGCGATCGTGCTCGTACTGCTCAGCCAGCCGAGCAGCAGGAACAATAAAGAAAGAATGGCCCCCAACAGGTCACAATTGTCTGATCTGCCATGACCTTCAGGACAGGGCGTCTCATGCTCGACTCTCGACCGCTCTCTCCTCCCGGAATATGCAAGGGAGAGCATACTTGTGCAAGAGTAAGGCCCCGAAGTCAAGAACAGCACACTCAAACCGGTGTACTGCTTGGATAAACGGTCTTATAGATCGTCAAGAAGGTGGTTTTGGAGGCTGGCTCGGACGTTGCGCAGGCTGGCTGGGACGATGCGGAGGCTGGCGCTGTCGAGGATGGCGATGGCACAGGCTGGCTGGATTCACCACCCACGGCCGGGTGAAAACCCATGATCTCAGCAAACTGCGATGGGATCGAGGCCCTATCCAAAGGTTGGTCTTCCACATAGTCTGCAGTTCCAGCCTTGACGTGCGTATGCGTCGCAGCATTGTCCACAACATCCACGTCGATGCAGGTGGTATAGATCTCCTGCTTGCCGTTGGGCAGCGTGTCCGTCACACCAGGCGCAGTCGGCCAGTCCCAAACCCAATACAGGGTATACGGCTTGCCGGACGGCGCATTCGCGGGTAGCGCGATATCCTGCTGACACCACAGATCGGCGCCCATGGTCTGGTCGGCCACGTGAGGAAACTCGGCCTGGCGATGCTCGGAGATATTCCCGGAGTTGATCTGGTAGCACCGGCCGTCATCGAAGTTCTGCTCCGACAGAAGCACGCCTCGTCGGTCGCCTCCCGTGCCGTCGCGGTTCCAGACGCGGTGAACGTCCAGGAGCTTCTCGTCTGCCTTGGGCTCGGTGGTTCCGTACACGTATACCGTGCCCCGGTTCGGGGGCTTTCCCGGCTGCGTCCCGGGGAGGGTCACATGGCCGTTTTCCTGGAAACGAAGAGCGATGGCCGCGCCCGCGCTGGCCTGCAGTCGGGGGTTACCTTCGGTCTGTTGGTACAACTGCTGGCTGTCCTTGCACATCTTGTCGGTGGGAAGGATCTCGCTTTGATTGGCCCGGCCGTTGGGAGGGATGAGATACGTCATATCGGTATCGCTGAAGCCAGAGGCGGTCCGCTGGACATTGCCGCGGGGGTAGCCAGTTGCTCCGACGAAGGTTCCATTTGGCGCGATGACCGTCAGTTGTTCCACCCAGGAGTGTGCGTTCGCAGTCGACAAGCCCAGGGCGAGCAGTAGCCCCCCCAATCCCGTGCCACGGATGAAGAGCATGATTGCGTCTTTTCAAATTGTGGTGATTTCTGAACGCTTCGTCAAATCGTTGTTCTTGTGAGGAATAGCAAGTTGAGACACCGGCCAGCGGGGTTGTCTATCAAGAAAACTTGGTGGTTGGTTTCTGCGTGTGGTCAGTGGATGGCAATGGTGGTTTGTAGAAGGCAGGGGTGATTCATACATAATTTATAGCCTCATTGTGACAAGAAGGGCCTTATGTATCTTCTCTTGTCGTCTAGTTCGCTGGAGTGTTCCACTCAAAGACAATTAACTGACCGCGATGGACAATGGCTATCTAGCGGAGAATCACAGTGTACAATAAAACAAACACAAAGGAAACGGGAGTCATTGGGTGTTAACAATGACATTGAAGGAGAGTGCCCGTTCCAGATATTGTCGCCCTCCGGGGCCTTATGATCAAATTCACTTCCCAAAAGAAATTAGGAGTCAAAGCAGTTGTCCAATATCATCCAGTTGTTTGAAACAAAAAGAGAATGAGGAAACTCGGCCAAGCTGCGTCAGTCATGAGAGGCTCGTTTCTGTAGGCGCTCCGGGACAATGCAATAACATGATCATGACTGGAATAGATCCTTGATGAGCATCGCAGGACCAATCGATCCCCTTGGAAGCGCTACCAAGCTTTTTGTGGCCCTAGGTGATCCGGAGAAAGACGACAGCCATGATTCGTCGCGTCTTCAAAGTCTAGCGCGGAAGGGGGGGGGGGGGGACAAAGGGCATGAATAAGAAGACGATCAGATCAGTCAGGTCTTGATGGGATTTGCGACACTAAGTGAGGTCTGAAATTAGCAACGGCGCCTAACCTGGGCTGGAATATAATCTCTTACTGACAGACATTCGCCCTCACGGATGGACCCGTTGTTGCAGAGTTGCAGACGACGCAGCAGTCCTTTGATCCTGCCCCATCCGCGGCACACTCGAGCACCTAGGGGCTGTTGGTGTTTATTTGGGGTAGCTTAGCGATGTACCCCCCATATCCATGAGCAAAGCTGTCTAGCTTGACGGCGCGCATTGGTATTCAGCAACCAGCCGGGCAGACATTTACCCAGCCAGGTGTTGCATGTTTATGTTTTAGGCGCCTGAGGAGTGAGTGTTGAAACATGGCCGCGTCCCGCCCTCGCCAGCCCTAGCAGATTCCCGGACGGCTGGGAACAGTCGATCTGAAAAGCAGAAACTTACCCGGGCGGGCATGACTGGGATATTCTGTGAGCTTTGTGCATGAAGCTTGATTATTTTCGCTGAAGAACATTTCCTGCGAAAACTGAGAGTACTATCTATGACTGTGAAATGCAAGATGCAAATAAAAAAAGGTTCCAGCACTGCGGCTCATGTATGGAACTGACAACAAACCCCTTCTAGATCCTCCCGCCCGCCCAATGATCCAAGTTAACTACTCCGTACTTAGTTTCACTACCGAAGTTATAGCTATAGAAGTGTACTCTAGTACTCCGTACATACAGTACTATACCTACTGGACGTGACACGATTCATTGACAGACTTCTGGAAAATCTACCTGTCTGGTCAAGGGGCTGAGATAACTCGGGTCGACTAAGTCACCAACTCACCGACCTCACAATGTTCTTGCTTGGCATTGGAAAGGCCCCCCCCCCCTCCCCACTTCACCTTCGTCTCGTCTCTGGATCAAACAAAACCACAGCGTCGCCGTGGTTCCATCGCCCAACTAAGGTAGTGAGTACCCATCAATTGATTATCGGTCCTCAGGGGAAAACCCGACCCCCGAACACGCATTAACCGTATGTACATCCAACATTGCGACTTGCGAGACCGACATGAAAGTCACTCATGTCATGACATTAGATCAACAGCTCAAATTCCCATACTGCCCTGGGAAAATACCCAAGTACGTAGCGACTTGTTCCGTGATCTCATCCGGGTCCAAGCTCGTTACGTGTCAAGAGTGCCAGACCCGCAGCTGAACTGGTTTTTTTCCCTGCCGATTTCCGGACTATCTGCCGGGGAGTTTTTGTTTTCTTCTTATTTTTTCTCTGTTGCCTGGGGGGGGGATCAACCTTGCTCGGGTTAGCAAGACGTTCTGATGGTCAGCATACAACAACGTTTTTGACAGGACTTTTTTTTCTGTCTGTCTGCCACGATTTCACCGAAGCGCACAGAGAAATTTAGGTCAGGCCTAAACCCAAAGTAACCGTATGTGAGACAGATGGGGATCCCTTCCCCCCCCCTCTCTTCGCCAGAAGAGATGAAGAGATTGATTAGATGAAAAAGGGTGGGTAGGCTGTGTTATCTCCGATGAATCGCAGCCCTTCAGTGGCCACCGACGGTCTCGGTTTCCACCATTCGATCTCCACCCCGGCAGACTGAGGGAATATCGGGCTACGGATGCAGTCTTGGAATTTTTTATCAGATGGAGGGGTTTTGGTCTCCTACGGCTTTCGAAAGCGGGATGCCAATTAACCACCAAAGGGCAGAATGGGGATGGAGGGGGGAGGGAGCTTGGAAATTACCTAACGCATTGAATAATAATATTACGACTAATTTAGACTGGATTGTGTGTGATTGCTCTCTGCTGGAACCAGGATTGCCCTTGCCACCATTTCAGCCAACTGGATCGGGGGAATGAGTGCATGCGGTACTGTACGCTGCTGGCATGGACAATCAGAGAGATGATCTGCTGGTGGTGGTGGTGGTGGTGGTGGTGGCCAGGGTGCTTTGCTGCTGGACTTCCTTGAAGTCATCATGATCAGACCAAATGTGGTCCATGGTTAGTAGGGATCACCAACCAGTACCACAATCCGTATTTCTCTGATGACGTTTGTGATACCGATGTGTTTGGAGGTGTTCAGCTTCACTCGGACACCAAAAACGCTCTCCCCAATCTCATACATTCCGACCGCTTGACCAGCTGCGGCAGAGCGCAGGAAGCCGAGATCTAGAAAAAGAGGTTGGCCTGACATGCGGGTCGCTATTTGGCCCGCATGTCGCTGTTTGGCTGAAGTGTTTGGATTTCACGAGAGAACCGCCGTCTTACTACCTTACGAGTGCTGAATCATGAATGCCTTGTCTGATCTGCCGACCAGTAGAGAAGTGGCTCTTAGGGTTGAGCAGAGATCCAATGACGGTCTATAACCGTATAACTTAACGGGAGCTGGGCCACATGGATACCCTTTCCTTCGGGCTCGGGTTCTCTTGAAGGAGAAAAAAAGTGGCTGTAAGTACGGAGTAGGGTAGGTTACTGTACAGTGCTCCGTATCTTAGTTTGCTTATTAGACTGTTTTCTGATCACTGAAGTTTGGAAGCCGTCTGTCCCTTCGGTGAGATTGGGCAAATGCTCGCTCACACTCACATACCATCCATGCATTATGTACTGTACATGCACACTGCAGATACACCATCCAACATTGAACATGCAAGGTTAGTCTGCAAGCGGCTGCAGAATCTGTAGAATGCTGATCTCAGAACAACGCTAACCAATCCTACTTTACAGACTTGCAGCTGGCATCATTTGTGCATCCTCCACGTTGGGATTAATTGTTGCGGCTTCCTCCCGATAAGCGGAGTATGTGACCACCACAGACTAAACTAGAAGTAAGTTAAGTACGGAGTAAGTTAATCTCGTAAAGGAAAAGAAGGAAAAAAAGGGAGGAGAAAAAAAAAAGAAAAAGTGGAAAAAGGGAAACCGAAAAAAACCACTATCAATTTGTACTAATCCCGATTAGGTTATCTCCATTGGAACTTGTCCCGGTAGTCGCTATTGTTCCCAATTCTTCTTTATGCTGGGTTGGCCCCCCCTCCCCTCCGCTCTCTCTCTCCCCTTCCTCACTTCTCACTTCTCTCCGCTCATTTTCCTTTTATCCTTCCTCTTCCTCTCCTTCTACACCTTCTATATTCACTATATCACCTACTACTAGATCCATTGATCTTGTGGTAGTAGCCCGATAAGTGAATTGTCGGTTGTATCTCAACGCGACCAGTGTACTTTTGAGCCACCTTGGCACTGCTGCGGTCCGTATTCCCGCAGTGCCATCGATTGGCTGTCTTTGTTGGCCGAACCTGTGGCTTGGTTCAGCGGCGAAACTCGCGGATTTACTTAATCCCACCGCCTCTGTGGCTGCCTAGTGGGAGTACTTCCACCCTTGCTTCTTTCAGGGGCCCGTGAGCGAGTCAGGAAGTCCCAGAAGGGGTAAGAAAAAAACCTCAAGAATCCAGTTGCTTGGGATCTTATATCAGCCCAACGCAGAGGTTGGACTTTGGACGTTTTGCTGTCAGGTAAAGCCACTCCGACCCCCTCGTCCGCCCTTACTTGCCCCCCCACCGATCGCAAAGCTCATCGCATTGCTCTTTTCTTTGTTTTTAGACCCGATAAGCAACGACCACTCTCGCTCCTCAATCCCATGCCATTGACTTTTGGGGAGGTGCTTGTTCAGATCTAAAAATTCAGATCATCGTTCGCGTGAACTAGTGCGACACGTTCGGGGGCACTCTTTGGCGGAATCTCAACGCGTGGACCATCGCCCTCCCGACTCGACTAACTTCTCCTTTGACACCCGGTCCACACCGCTCCTTTGGACTCAATTGTCCAACTTCCATAAGCAATCATGGCTTCGACGTTGATTCCTCGCAAGTCGCGTACGACAGAGGAAGATCGCGATGCTGAGCCCGGATGGCTCAAGCGTCAAGTTACCAGCGGTCTACAGTTTATCTCCCGCCGTGCCTGCCTTCACCCGATTCACACCATCGTTGTGATCGCCCTTCTGGCCAGCACCACCTATGTTGGTCTGCTGGAGGGGAGCCTTTTCGACTCGTTCAAGAACCCGCGCAATGTACCCGGCCAGGTCGATGTGGACACTCTTCTCAGAGGCAGTAGGAATTTGCGCCTGGGAGAGAGTACCTCGTGGAAGTGGCAAGTTGAGGATGCTCCGACCATCCAAGACTCTGAGGTGAGCATCTGCTTGATCGATCTATCTGTGTTTGTTCATGCACTGATCCTTTCGTTCCGATAGTCCGCTCAGCACATGGCACTTGCTACATTCATCTTCCCCGACTCGGTATCTAAGTCAGTGTCGACCGCCCCTCTAGTCGACGAGGTCCCCATTCCTGCGAATACATCTGCCCAGCGGGTTCCTCATACGCCCAACCTGTTCTCGCCTTTCTCCCATGACTCGTCTCTCGTGTTCACTCTTCC